TTTAATTATAGTAGAAGTACGTTTGTTTTCGTTACGTTTTACGTTTTCGTTAACGTTACGTTTACTTTAGTTAGTACGTCTTCTTCGTAGGTAGGTAGTATACTTATATATATATATATATATATATATATATATATATATAAAGTTTATATAGAGCCGAGGGTTTAAACAATCAAATTAGAGTGTACATCATAAATTTCACTAGAAGAGATTGTTTTGATGTTCAAATATCTTCAAATTGATCATCTCGACATCAAGATGCATGGACATGAGAAAAAAATGGATTTCAAGTTTTGGAAATAATGCATCTTGTAATACATTTTTGGATACTCAATTTTCAAGATTTTCAAGATTTTCAAGTTTTCATAGATATACTCTATCTACACTATTTTTTAATCTTTAAATTTTATAATTAGAGATAAAAATATATTTTTCAGGCTATTACAAAGCTTTTCAATATTGAAACCACATCTCTTGACACTATTTGAAGGTGCGCTTTACTTTGATTTAGAATTTCGGCTCTAAACAAACCACTCCTATTTACAAAATATATTTAAATACAATTAAATACATAAATATTTTTAAATTTTTGGCTTGGTTCCGATTGAGTCCTATCAAGTCCCGATTCATATCCCACACTATATTTTTGGATTCGGGTCTGGGTCCGGGTCCCCGTCCAGGTCCTATGTCCTTTTGGGACCGCACCTGGACCCAGACCCGAACCCGACACGACCAATTACCGCCCTTAATAACTGCTACATCTTTGGGAGTGAATGGATGATATGCTTCCACATGACCATATAATATGGTATTAATGGCAAAGTTCAAAGTGACATTAATGTCTTCTACAAGGACCAGGAGCGAAGTGCATGAGATATTTTCATAACCAAGGTCCCTCTCTCTCTCTCAAGCACTTCTTTCTTACTTGCCTAACTTTGAACTCCAAAAAGCAAGTTTGCTCAAGTCAATATGCTCGCCATCAATCATTTAATTTTGAGATAAATCTTGATATTCATGTAAGAAAATCCCATGTTTCCTAGGAAAAATGAAAAGCTAGCACATAAGAGAACAAATGGAAAGGCCTATAGGAGCAAATTTACCTAGACAAATAAAGCTGAAGGCCAAAGTAAAAATAATCATAATAATAAATAAATAAAAATAAAATTGCTGTTTATCTTTATTGGACTTGCACGTCCCATTACCACTATTTACTTGCTACGTGGCTTAGATTGTGTTTCAAGGTGGACCCCTCCATGTTCATGAGGGACCCACTCATTCGATGCTTCAATGCTGCTAGCATTTTTGTTACAAAATAATACATAAGAAGGGTATGTGAATTTGAAAAGTTCGTGCTTGAGAATTCTTGAATGACAACAATCTCCTTTAATTTACAATTAAAAGAAGGAGAAAGTTTATATAAGGTGGTAGTCCTATGCTATAAAAGTAAGGCCCATCTCAAAAATCTACTTGAAAAAGACATTCAAGTGATCATTTAGATATCAAAATGTATAGATATTGAAAAAAAAATTTAATTTACAAAAATAGTACATATTATTTGGATTGTCTATTTTCAACTTTTAAAGTTTTTATATATTCGAGTGATATACATTATTTTAAAAAATTTAAATTTTATATTTATGAGATAAAATAGATCTTTAGGCCATCATGGAGATTTCTCCCAAAAGAACTGTTTCTTTCGGCGTGGTTTGGAAGTACGCATTACTTTGATTATTTAACGTTTGCTCCTTATACAGACTGCACCTTGAATTGAAATACACAAAATAAGATTTAAGACGAGTAATAAGTATTTTCGTACGACTCGATTTCCACTTCAAAACCTTGAATTTAGTGCTCAAAAAATAATTAGATCATATCATTGGCAAATTGAAATAAATAGTTCCCAAAAAATACAAATAAATTATTTTTAGGACTTAATTGTTTTTGTTCAACTCATGATTATGGTGGTTGAGATGATAAACCTACAAATTATTGAACTTACAAGTCATCTCCAAGATAAATTTTGAAAGGGTAGAGAAGTTGTTATAGGTGTGCTCCAAAACTTAGCTAAGCCTTATCCATCTTTTAATGATGTTATGAGAGACTAATCAGGGCTTTGTTCAAACTAACGTTTAAACATACCATACTTCCTAGTGTCAAACAGTCCATGTAAGAAATAATGAAAAATCAAGCAAACTTTGTTTCAAATATTTTATGTGGTATTTTCCCAAAGCAAAAATAGTAACAAATTTGCCTATGGCAAACATGAGAAACATAACTTCATAGAAGTACATTTCATGTTCCTTGTTCAATCTGATGAATGGTATCATACTATTCATCATATACCATATGGGAAAGTGTATGATAAGACCGTTTACTTTTAACACAAAAAGGTCACAATCACTAGTGGCAATTAGATGCAAAATAAAATCGGCAAATGTGTGATTGACTAAGTTCAAAGCCATCAGATTCCACCTTTAATGGTGAGGAGTAATTGTGACCTCCTCATATAATAGATAAATGATCTTACATTATACAATATCATTATATTATATCTATAATGCATATTAACTTAATGGAAAGTTTTTTGAGAGGCTTGTAGCCCTATCAAAATAAGCAAAGCCTCACTTCAAAACTCATTGAAAATTTTAGGTTCTGGCATCCGAAGGCCTTCAAATTGATCATCACGCCCTTGACCATTATGGTTGAGAAAAAAAATTAAGATTTCAAGCTCTAAAAATGATGTGTATTTTAACATATTATCTATAACGTCTATTTCCCCTAAGAATAAGTATTTATAGATCCACAAGATCTGTACCAATTTTTTTAGCTTCAAATTTCATAATCGGGGTTGGAAGCTAATTTTAGAGCCATTATAGAGATTTTCGATGCCCAAAGTGCTCTCTAGACAAGGATTTGAGGTGAAACTTTATTTTCATAGATCCTAAGCCTGACAAGAACTGCATCCTAACTTAATCCTATAATTCGAAAATAAACACACGTGGACATATTAAATTTGAAGCTTCAATAAAGGTGCATATTTAACAGGTTTGTAAACATTTAAAGATGGACTGTTTGAGTGATGTCTTACAAGAAATACTATTTTTAGGTTTGAAATTTACTTTTTTTTATATTCATACTTGTCACTCTTTGGATTCATAATTGCTTGGTTCAAGATGACCAACTTTATTTAAGTAGGTTAACTTTATATGGGTATCACTTGCATATGAACACATATGGACCCAATTCCCAGTTGTCAAATTTGAGTGGGTGGTTGTGATGAATTCAAGATAATATGACAAGTTAACTTCTGATCGTTTGATATTTGATTGGATAACTCATAGAATTTTATTTTTATTTTATTGTATAAATCATTTACAGTAAAATTTAAGCGTAAACAACCCTCATAGCAACTTATCTTAATATATTAATATGCCTTTTTTTAAAATGTTTTTTGTTGGTGTGCCCTAATAAGGTGTGAGCACGATACGAAGATACACAAAAGTAGAACGCTTAAGCAAAATTAACTTTATTCATGTCTAAACTAACGATTTTTAGGAAAAAGGCTCTTGCTTAATTAGTTAAGCGCTCGACAATTTGTGATGTTACATCCTCGGCTCAATTCCTATCAAAGGTAGTGGCCCTCACTCCATTGACTTACCAAGAGGAAAACGTTGAAGTAAAACTAAGTCTAAAAGAATGTGCTTGAAAGTAGTAAAAACTGTATATAAACTTATGGCTGAAGATAGAGCCCTAAATACTAAATCTAAAAGAATATGGTTGAAAGTAGAAAAAAACGTATATAATCTTATATAAACTTATGGCTGAAGACAGAGCCCTAAATACTAAATCTAAAAGAATATGGTTGAAAGTAGAAAAAAATGTATATAATCTTATAGTAGAAGATGAAGCTTTTAATGGAACATAATGACAGATCAAGATTCGTATAGGGCCTCAATTAATTGAAAAAAGACTTTGATGATGATTACGACCAAAGCTATTCTTGCCATCCATTTGAATTGGACGGCTGGGAATAAGGACATACATATTTTATGTGTGGATGACCGATATATAAAGCCCTAGATTTTTTGTAAACTTTTTCTATCAATTACACCCAAATTGAGCTGACTAACAACAAATAGCAGCCGTCCGTCCGTAACATCTCACGGTTAACGTGATATGAAATTTCCATCCAAATATTTGCTCTCAAAAAGAGAGAAAATGAAAGGAAAGAATTTTTTTAAAAAAAAGGTCCTTATTTGGGCATTTGTTACAAGTACTGGGTCATTGTGGTAAATTGAACAAAGAGAATTCCGATATTTCGGTCCGCAACGCGCCGAAACGCCCGCCTAGGCGGCTCCACCACGTGGAAGGGATGAGCCCCACCAGGATGGGCCCCACCATCAGATACAAATCGCGCTCCCCTGGGCCTTAAATGCCACGTCATCATTTTGGTCCCCACACATCGAGGCCAAGACACAAAACCGTGACAGAAAGCCCACCGCTCTTTCCAACGTGGCAACGCCCGTGTCAAGAAGGCCTCTGGTTGGAGGATACTTTACTTCGCACGAGCGGGGCTCTACCCAAACCCTATAAATACCGCGACCAATAACGGAAAGCAGCGTTTTTCTCTCTCTAAACTGCTTCTCTCTCTCTCTCTCTAAATCCTCCTCCCTCTCTCTCTCTCTCTAACCCGTCTCTCTTCCGACGGCTTCTCTCTAACCTTTCTCTCTGTATATTCGCTGTAGCTTCTCTCTCTCTCCATAGATTGTCATCTCGCTCTCTCTCTCGCTCTCTCTCTCTCTCTAAACTCTTTGTCTCTCTATATTCGCTGTAACTGCTCTCTCTCTCTAAACCCTTTCTCTTTGTATATTCGCTGTGAAAGCTCTCTCTCTCTATAGTTAGTCATCTCTCTTTCTCTCTCTATCTAAACGCTTTTCTCTCTGTTTTCGGTTTCCCCTATCTCTCCATAGATGCTCTTTCTCTCTCTAAACCCTGCTTTCTCTGTATTCAGTTTTGTTGCCCTTGCCCTAAAGATTGAAGTGTTTTTCTCTCTCCGTTCGGTATTGTTTCCTTTGCCCCAAAACTAAAGGTGTTTCTGCTTTTGATGATTGAGTATTAGGTTAACAGGTTGGTTCCTTTAGTCTGCAACTTTACAGAGAAAAAATTAATACCCTTGCTTTCTTTCTTTACTCATTTTTAAATTAAAGGAAGGAATTTGCAAGGGGATTTGTTGTCTTTCCTTTAAAAAAATAGAGAGAGAATCTGTTTCTCGCTCATTTGTTCCCCGTTTTGTGCTGCACAAGCAGGCTTTTGCTTTTGAATATCAGGGCATTAGGGCGAGTTACGTCCCTGAACTCTGCAAGTGTAGAGACAGAGAATCCACTCTCTTATTTATCCTCTTTATTTCTGACAGAGAAAAGAATTTGCTTGAGAAGAGCAAGAATAAGGGTAAGTTCCTGCAGAAAGATGCCAACTTTGGTGAGAAACGGTCTCTTCATTGGTGACATCAATGATGCAGCTGAGGTCCTCTGCCATGGAAGCTCTGGTATCACGCATGTTCTCTCTCTCCTCAGCTCTGCGTCCATCTCCTTCTTCTCAGACTGGCAATCAAGTATTGTGATACCCACAAAGGAAATACGCCGGGTTTTCGCAAACCCTAACCCTAATTCTAAGGATCGGTCAGTTTCTCAAAACCCTAGTTTCAGTTTGCACGATCAGGTTCCAAGTTCACAGTTTCCAAAACCTACTCCTGAGCACACACAATCTCTTGCTTCCGGTTCCCAAACCCGAACTCCATGTAGTGTTGATAAGGCCATGGATAAGTTGTCTTTAAAGCCTGATTCGAGTTCGGGTGAGAAGCTTCTCTTTGTTTTGGAGATGGCAGGGCAAGACCTGAAGCTTGCGAGGATGGCTGTTCCTTTGAGGGATATGGAGAGTGAGAATCTATTGGATTATTTGGAGGTCTGCCTGGACTTCATCAATAAGAGTAGAGCGGATGGTGGGACAGTCCTGGTGCACTGCTTTGCTGGCGTGTCTAGAAGGTATGGCCAATTCATGGTGCTAAATTTCATTTTTAGTTGCAACTCTTAAGAAAAAATGACTTTGTTCAATTAAGGTAATAGTTTTGCGTATTTTACAATTGATTAATCCACTATTATATGAGTGGGAGAGAGGTTATTGACATGGAGTAGGTAGTCCCATTGTTATTACAAGGAAAGTTCAGTTTTATGGCTGAATGTCATTTATGGAGCATAATTTGGGCATTTTTTGTGGATTTAGTTGTTAGAATACATATGAAACTTGCACAGATTTTTTTTCTTCCTTTTTTCTTTTTATGATACATTCAGTTGAACTATTTACTATATGTTTTAGGAAGAGATACCTCGTTTTTCTTGTAAATCCTTATTTTCTTCAAATATTTTCATTATTAGTTTTATATTGCCGACAAATTCCTGAAAATTTCATTTTGAAGAAGACTTCTCTGACATTATCCAACAAAAATTGTTCCTTGAGAACAACTAGACAGGGTTTTTCTTTCTCTATTTTTTTTTTTTTTGGATGGAACTCTGTGCGGACTTTCTAAGATATTCTTGTACAGTTAGGGACTAATGATGTCTTATAATTTATTGACTAGAAAGTAGTTGTTTTTCTTTGTCTGCTGCATATCCTTCAGTTTCTATTGCTAGTATTTGTTATTTCATTGTACTTACTTTTAATTTAAGGGCCATTTGGATCCTTGGAAAAGGATTTCAACGAAATGGTTCTCCAGAGAGATTGCTCATTTCTGCTGGTTGGATCCAGAATCTGTGATGGAAAAGTTTTTTGCCAAAAATTGTTTTTCTCTATTTTGAGCGCAAAACATAGAGATTATGTTTTCTCCCTCCAAGCTAAAAGAATAATTTCCTTGTCAGATTTCCTTGCTGAGTCGAACGAAATAAATAAATAAATAGAACCAGCATATAGCTCATTGGGACTTCTCGTTGGAGCTCAGACAGAAATGGGCAATCTACCCATCTCTCTACTTTGCCCTCCCTCCCTAACTCAACAATCTCTCTCCTTGCTAACTCAACGCCCCTAACCCAAGTCTCTCTCTCTCCCCCCCCCCGCTTGCTAACCGAACTCTCTTTCTCTCTCTCCCTGCGTGCTAACCGTGCTCTCTTTCTCTTTTTCTCCCCGCTTGCTAACCGAACTCTCTTTCTTTCTCTCCTTATTAACCTATCTCTCTCTCTTGCCCCTTCCCTTCCACCCATCTTGCTCTTCTCATTCTAAAAAGTTCTTGTATCTTGTTTGTCATAGCCTTCTTGTCTCTCCCCACTCATAGAAATCTCTTTCTTCTTCTATCTTGCTCTAGCCATTTCCTTCTTTCTATCTCTCGCATATATTCGTCTCTTGATAGTTCTTGCATTTAATACCTTTTCCAGGTAGAAAATGTAATTTCCAAGTTACCTCAGATTCTATCCAAATAGCAAAAAACCATTTTACAGGAAATGTTTTTTGCAAGAAATATATTTCCCAAGAACTAGTTTAGGATCCAAATGGGGCCTAATTGTTGGATTAAAGACATTTATTAACATTTCAGTTTTGCATAACAAATTAGCAAATAAGAAAAATTCTTTCATATGTACATATTTTTGGTTTTTCCTGAGTAATTTTGACTTGACAAAATTCAAGACATTAAATGACAAATTGTAGAGTTAGTCGATCTAAGGAATTGGTACCATGTCTCCTTTTCTATATGATTCTGTATGTAAAATATAATTTTAGCTGAGTTAAGCTTCTTAAAATCTCTCATCCTTATGGTCCTTAAGAGGACAACTTTGTATGCATGGGTATATTTATCCTCAAGTTTTGCCTTTTAAAGGAAATTTACTTGTGTTGGCCATGACATTTAATAACAAATTGTAGAGTTAGCATCTAAGGAATTGCTATTTTTTCTCCTAAAAAACTTTTCTATGATACTTTATGTGAGAGGTTTTCAGCTGGGTTAAGCTTCTTTAAAATCCATCTCCCATCCCCATGGTCCTTAAGCAGGCAGCTTTATATCATCATCGTCATCCAAGCTTATCCCAACTATTTGGGTCGGCTACACAAATCTTGGTCCTCCATTTTACTTTATCACGGGCCATACCCTCAGTCAGAGCATTTCACCATATCTTTTCTCACTACTTCTATTCAAGTCCTTTGGGTCCTTCCCCTTGCCCTTTTAGAGGCTTCCACTGGGACCAAATTACCCCTTTCACCGGTGTTGTTCTAGGTTGACGTTGTGCATCAATAGCTTTTCATCATCATCATCATCATCATTTTATCCTTTTCTCAATTAATTGGGGTCGGCAATATTATAAGTTTATCAAGATCCATGATGGGTTTTGGCAAAATTTTACGTTGGTTGCCTACTTAACACAACCATGCCCTTTTACCCGAGCATGAGATGGGTTAAGGTCATCACCCTTCTTAGACCGTATTTATCTGCCAAAGTGTAGCGTTTTAAAGGTTTTTTTGGGGTTGTATTTGCTTTTTCACTGGTGGGATGGGCTTTGAATCCCTAACGTAGGGTGCAAATTTAGGAGCCCCTAAACCAGAGACCATTGGTTAGAAACTCGATTACCCATGTCTGTCACATTAGATTATTTGCTTTTCTATTGGGCTCAATCTTTTATGTCAACTGGTATGTGGACTGTTGTAATGGTAGATTTGTTTCTTATATTATGGGCAATGCGTTTCAATCAATCTTGATTTTCTAGTTTGTATAAATGAAGAAAGTAATTTTTGCAGTAGTTGAATATTTGCATGCACCATTATATTTCATGCTCAAAAATACTTAATTTATTTATTTGTTGTTGTTATTTTTGTTACCGTCATCCAATTTCTATGTACTGAGTTTTTCTTGCTAATCTGTACTGTTACTTTATTGAGATTTGTTTCTTTTTCTTTAGTTCTTTTCTTTTCCAAACATAGTGGGGAATCTACTATTGGAAGCTTGGAGAGACAACCAGCAATATTTCTTTCTTGCTCCCCAAAGAGAACATGCCCAGCTTCAATAGTTTTTTGCTTTTTGGCACATTTTTGGCTTCATATAAACTTCCCCTGTTTAGCATTTTCAGATTGATGGATGCTAGGAAATGTCATCTTCTTAGCAGTTATGGAGGGATGCCCCAGAGACTTTGGTTTTTCTCCCCTATAACATGTAAAATGTATTGGAAAAGTGTGGATGGCAGTTTATGCTCTGCTTTGGATATTTACATGTGTTTTTCTTATTCATTTGTGTCTTCTATGAAAGATCTATTCTTCTAAGCTTTATCAAAATATCTGAAATTAGTCAAGAACATAATTGTGTGAGCCTATTGAGTCAAGGTGATTGAAAACAAGATATATTCTTGACTGATCCTTCAAATTGATTCGAGCCCTGTTAGGGCAGGTCAGAGCTGCTTGTTTTTTCTGGGTATTTATGCATGGCTTTGCCTGTATTTGGTTGCAGTGCCGCTGTCATTACAGCATACCTTATGAGAACAGAACAACTATCACAAGAAGGTTTGAACACTTCTATCGTATTTCATGGGATCCATTTCTGTCCTTAATCTTGGTAATTCTCATATGGGTGTTACCACTGGTCCCATATAATGTCTTTGCTCTTTCCTATCAGCATGACTGATGGGTATGAGGCTCTTTGAAGTTGTTTTTCTTTTCCGTGCCAAATTCAAAGTTCGTATCTGGTAATCTAATGAAATTCTTCAATATATTGCTGCAGATGCACTGGAATCTTTGCGGCAGTGCTGTGAATCTGTGTGCCCGAATGATGGTTTTTTGGATCAGGTTAGACGAGTATCATTCATATGGATATGTTAACCAGAGAACTTTACTTTGTGGACATATTCTCTAAATGATTTGGTCAAAGTTACAATGTCTGTTTGTTTATTGCAGTTGAAAATGTTTGAAGAAATGGGGTTCAAAGTGGATCCTGCGAGCTCTATCTACAAGCATTTCCACTTGAAAAGATTGGGTGCGGCTTGAGCCTAGCATGCTTTTCTTGAATAATTTAAATCATGAAATTTGTTTTATCTTTCTAGTTAGAAAGAACATGTGGCTTCTCTTCAATATGAACCTATTTTGCGAGAGATTTTCCATTTTCTGATGTTAATTTTAAAGAACTGAAACATCATATTTCAGAATGGCATCTAACAAACAACATATGTATTTTACAGATAAATTTCTTTTCCAGTAAGGAGTTCACTTTTTATTTGCTTTTGATGGAATTAGATATCCTTCAGTGTGTTGTTCATGATACTAGAAGACATGAAATTTATGCAGTTGGGTTCCCTTTAAAGGACTCTGAATTGGATGAATAGAAGCCCTACATAAGGCAAACATCAGGGATTTACTGCTATCTCCTTCCCACTCCCAGTATATCATATGAGTACTTGATTTTCGATGAGTAGAAATTGTTAATAGTCGTCTCTGTTCAATCAAGAAAAAACAAAAAGGAAGAGTCATCCTCACATCAGCTAGTTTTTATAGTTTGCTTTATTCTAACAATGCCAACCTACTGCATTTCATATCGGAGTTTACAAAAATATGGCTCCATTTCCCTTTAACTGGGGAATAAAAGTTGTAGACATTAAGATTTCTGATTTGTCAATTTGATATCGTTTGCAGAAATCAGCTTCAATGTTTTCAGTGAGGTCTTTTCTATACCATTTATGTGTGACTTAGAGAAGAGCGGAAACCGGAAATCTGATTCTATCCCTGAAGGTCTTCTGTAGGACTTTCTTTTCTTCTCAACTCTTAATACAGTGGTTACCTCGCAGTTATCTGGAATTTCCTACTGCTTCTACAGAAGATTTGCCTAATGAAACCTGTGCACATGGGAAATTAAAGGAGCTTAATGGTCGCATGATAGAATTTCAGGTGCTTATACTAGTCCACTCTTTAAGAATAAGAGCTCATTTACCCATAACTACTGTAGAATCTTTTAAAGTAGGTGGACATGATTTTTATTAATTATAAATTAAGAAAATCTCTCTAATAATTTTTATTCCAAGTGAGCTATTTCTAAATGTAATATATCAGAGTTTTGTGGTAGTTACCTAGCATTTTTTATAAACAATATAACCAATATAATTTCCTTTAGTAAAGTCTTTGTTATTAGAAATGATCCTAACAAAATTAAAGTATGAATTAATGACAGTGATTCCCACTACTTTTGATGAAGTGTTGCCTTATGGAGGTATTATATGTTAGAACGTAGATTATGAGTGTCTACTATGTTCATCTTAGTTTTTCATGCTCAGTGAGAGGAAGGTGCAATAGAGCATCCAAGCCTTGTACAAAGGGCAGGGAGTGTTTCAAAAATTAGAGCATCCATTGATTTTTGTTTTTAGTTGACATCTAAATGCAGAGTTGGATTGTAAAATTGGTGTAAAACATTAATGTTCTACCATGAGTTAGATACATGGTACTCATGTTACATGTATGCAACTAAATACAGATGATACTGGTTACTGAAAAATAAGAGCTTATTAACATATAGTATCAACTGTAACATATAGTATCAACTTAGTCCATTTGGTGTCTCACTATTAGCCAGGTATTCAGCTGTAACATATAGTATCAACCCTTGAATGGATTTGAGTTCACATCATGGGATTATATCTTCTGGGTTAACAACAGCTATAACTTTTGCATTCTGATGAGATAATGTTAGGGCTTTTTTGGGGATCGTGGTCCACTTTTGGGGGATGTGAGAGAGGTTATAAGGTTAGGAAAGTAGGTTTTCTGTGATGGGGAAAAGCTGCAATGGGAGTTATCCTTCTTTGCTTTGGAGGATGTGGAAAAAGAGTATCATTCAAAGATGCTATACAATGTAGTCATTGGGGCATGCAGACAGGCCCTTCCAAGCTTCATGGTGGTGTATAATGAGTTGAATCAGGCTGGCAGCAGCCTTGGAGTGAAGGAGAAGAGGCTGTCCTCTGATTCCAATACGTGCCTTGGCCACAATTTCCTCTGTTTCATGGCTTTTCTGGAATTGAGGACTCACTTGAGCATACTCTCTTGCATTGAAGATTGAACCTTATCTTGCACCTAGATCTCACTTTCCTCTCCATCTGGTCCTTGAATGCTGATATAAAAGGCTGGTGATCCTCCATCAGCTGTTGTTTATGAGGATCTTAACGCTATGTAGTTAGGATTACGCCACAAACGTGAATGTTGTTCGTTCCAATAGAAAACAAATAATGAATGAGCGCAAACCCATTCGACTGCAAGCCAAGTTCGACCTAGAATAAATATATGGATGCGCACAAAGCCATTCGATTGCAAGCCAAGTTTGGGTTAGACTTTGCTCTTGAGGTGCTAAAACTCAAGGAGTCATAAGACAAAGAGGTCAACTATAAAAGTAAATTAATATGGGAGAAATAAATTCATGGGGATTTTGGTTTAGTCTGCCTCTTAGGGTGCCAAAAGCTAAACTTCTATGGAATTTCAGAGAATAATTACAGCCTGACAACTGCTTCGTGTGGTAGTCAAATATGAGAATTGAGAAGGAGAAGGTTGCATATTTGAGAGAGATTGGGAAAGGTGAACTTCCCAGAAGTAGAAGCTTTTGCCTGGCTCTTAGCCCCTAGAGATTAAGTGAGTTTTCTTTTGAGGCTGCTAATCTTTGGGGGGCACTCTTCAAATGTATTTAAGGCAGTTTCTGTTCCCTTGGAGACTTGGTGATGTCATGGAGGAGATTTGGGGTATCTCCATATATTTTGGCGTTCTATTGTGTTTGTAAGGAGTCCCATTTGCTGGTAATTTAGGTGTGATTTGTTTTGGTCGGAACTATTAGGATTTGTTCCTTTTGGTGTAATCTTGGGGCTAAAACTTTGTTTGTCCATTCAGCGCTTGTAATAGTTACGCTGTGACAAAGCATTTGTATGATTTGAATCTTTATAATTGCATTTAGGTTCTGAGGCATCTTCCTTTCCCCCATATCTTCGACATCTTTTGTTAGTTCTTTTAATTGTGTTTTGTTAATGTGGAGGTTAACTTGTATTATTTGTTTGGGAGTATTGAACAGTGTTATATTTCTTTGCTAGATTTTATTTAAGAAAGACACAACTGGGACTCTGAAATGAATGAAATACATTGTTGTACTAGATTGTTGCCTGTTTCTTATGCTACTTTTCACTTCATTAGAGAAGCCACCAGATTGAATATAATTCAGGCATGGTTGTCTATATTAAAAGCTAATAATCACTTTCTACTAATGAAAGTACTTAATTGTTATGCATATGATTTGGTAATGATGAGAACATCCATATATTTGTTATTAATATAACATAACCTATTTTTCTTCCAATATTGTGCACTATGAAAAGCACTTTCTCCTTTTCCACAATCCTCTTTTCCCAATTGCAGTTGGGCATTTCAATTTATTCTTAAAAAGAAAATGAAAAGAAATAGTTTGACCTTTCATTTGATTGTTCAAAGTTATTGCTGTGATGGGTTCTCAGGCGATGCATATATTAAGGGAGAGAAGATCGACAGTATAAAATTTGGGGCAGATCCTGGTGCGCTTGTGCTTCAAGATAAGACTTCTTCCCAGGAGCAAGAAACCACTCAAGATAAGCCTAAATTGTCTTATCGCTGCAAAAAGTGTAGGAGAGTTGTGGCATTGGAAGACAATGTTTTGGCTCACATGCCTGGGGAAGGGGAGACATGCTTTGGTTGGCAAAAGCGGAAAAGTGGCAACCCGTTCGGTAGGCATGATGAACATGAGTGCTCATCCATATTTGTCGAGCCCTTGAAATGGATGACTATTGGTAAGCATGCCAGCATCTCTGGATACTTAATTTTGTGTTTTTTTCTATATCACTAGTTGATGAGAATTATCAAAAAAAAGAAGTAAAGAATCAACTAGTTGAGATTCTGACTATATATTAAGATAACGTCACCACATTCAAAAAAAAAAAAAGTTGAGATTTGTGTTGTAAAAAAACTGAATACAATCTTGCCCGGAATCTACTACCATAATACTAGCTATTATTGGATGAGGGCCACTTTTTGTTGGGACTTTCTCACTTATTGTAAGTCTGCTGTATTAGAATAGACCAGAATTTATCTAATCATTTTTTGTTCAAAATGGTGAGACATGCATATGGACTTATATAATACATAGCAAATGGAACATAAATGTGCCAAACAACTTGTAAATGAGCAAAGTTTACTCCTTAAATCACATATGAACTTAATTTGCTTGAGCTTCCTTCTAAATATCAAGTACATGTAAAAGTTGATTCTTTGAATGTATGTTCATGAATGCAAGAAGCACATAGACTTTTCAGTTTTAAACTTATTGATCTTCAAAATATCATATCTTCAAAATTTGTTCTAAAAAATAGGATACTTAATGTCTCTTTTTCTGTTTTAGGGAGGTTACTTTGTAAGTTATCAAATTCTCAACATAGTTTTGAAGGATTAATATTACTTTATTTAAATTTCTGAAAAACTCTCTAGCCACTATGCAATGTACTTTCTTTTCTTCTTTAGATAACTTACCTGCCTATTCTTATTGTGGTAACCTTGTAAATTCACCCCCAACCCCTTCCCTTCCTGCCACCCATCCATCAATCCACCACATGCACGCATTCACAGTGTATATGAGGCAGACTATGAAATGCTGCATGACAAGCACATCTATGGTCCATTCAGATGCTTTTGCAACTAAAGTTGAAAGTAAATATTCAATATTTAATGTACCATGCATTTTGCAAGAGGTACATATCATATATGTCTATATTATTAAGCCTCTTTATATGTGTGCTCACACATTCGACACACCAACCACAGTCATTGAGTAACAAATAGCATCCACAAAAGTTGATTACCCATTTCTAACTTAGGTGCAACTGTTTCTAAATAGTACTCCTATTCTGCTTAGGATAGAGTCTCTTGAATTCACCAATAGGCTTATCCTATTTGGTGAAAGATAGAGTTTCTGTATAAAACCTATTTTGGTAATCAGAGATCCTATTTATACAAGAGAGCGAAAAGATTAAAAGATACAAAGATGAGACTGGTGAAGATTGAGAGGGATAGAAAAGAGGATATTATGGTACCACAAAGATAACGTGGATGTGTATAATTGCAAAAAGACTGCCGACTTCCTCTCACTTGAATAAACAACTCTCTCTCTCTCTCCTCT